AGGCGAATGGACAGGTGAGTGGATGGGTAAGTGGATAAATAGATGCAAATATGGAAGGACTGATGGAAGGAGGGATGGAAGAATAAAAAGACTTCCATGACATTTGGGGCTCTACTAGGCCCTGCACTGAAACTAAACAAAAAGACACTATCCCTACCCATTAAATGTTCCCGTAGTGATGACAAAAATGAGGTCAATCCAAGTGACAAGAACAGATGAACATAAAGCGATTCCAGGAAAAGATAAAAGCAGGTGAACTTATAGCAAGAAGAAAACAGACAAAAACCAGGTAGTTTTACAGCAGTGGCCACAAAAATTGAGATTATTAATTTGAGAGAGCTGAGTAACCTTCCACTTGGGAGAAAGTATCATGGCATCTGGTTGTGGCCATCACGACAGGCAGAATGTCCCACCCTGATGCCAGCTGATCAGTTCCAGCCTGTGACTAAAGCACATAAGCATAGTAGTGCAGGGCCAGATGACCAGGAGCCAGACGCCAGGGTGAGGACATTGATAGCAGGGACTTCTGTGGGGCTGCGTCAGAGCCTGGGCAAAGGGGACAGCAGGCAGCAGGAGCACACAGCCCACTATGCTCGGAGCTCACCAACATGGGCAGACCCTGGGACTGCACCACCACCCCCGAGCGGTGTGAAGGCCACGCTGGCCACTGGCCAGCCCCTGCTGTCCCTGGAGGAGACCCAGATGCCCTCAACCTCCTCTTTGTTGTTCTAATCCTCCACGAGCCCTTACAGTCAGAAGGTCACAGAAAGGTCATTTGAGGACACACTATCCCATTTCAAACCTTCATCAACAGGTGGGAGAGACTCTTTTATGGCTTCCTCACACCCTTTACCCACGTCCAACAACACACACTGACGGAAAAGGTCGCGCATCTATCGTAAGTTCTGAGAGTCCCCCCGGAAACCAGTTTCTTCCCTCTGCTCTCCCTCCCACTCCCAGAGGCAGGACAAGCTGCCCGCCTCCGGTGCTGCACGCTTGCACGACTTGGAGGTGGCCACTTGGTCTCTCAGGGCTGGCTGAGGGGTGTCTCCACCCGCCTGAGACACCAGCCCGGGAATCCTGACGTGTTCTCGGCTCGCAGCCCCGCAGCACAGCCCTGCGCATCGCTGGTGCACAGCGCGAGTGCACCCTGCCCCGACCGCCGGGCCTCGCTCCCGAGTGGGATCACAGCACTGCACACGAGCACCAGAGCCTGGGACAGGCAACAGAAAGCGAGAAAGGAGACCCGTGGTTCTGGGTAGAGGAGCTGCTCAGAGTTAGAGCCAAGAGGTAGCGACACCCTCCTTCCCACTCAATGCAGAAACCCACCGAGGGCTTAGGGCGCGGGGGCGCAAGAACCAACACGTATGGAGGACTTCCCTCTGCCAAGAGCTACGCCCAGGGCTTCAGACGGGAACCCTGGCTCATTCCTCATTCGCTCTTTTGGCTCCTGTTTGCTGTGTGCCTACTACACGCCCCGTGCTGTGGGATGCTGAACACCCAGCAGTGAGTGAGGCTGCAGGGCCCCGGCTGCAGAGGAGACAACCACCTGTTACAGCATTCGTTGTTTAAATGCTGCAAGGTGGGGGTCCAGGGCCTTGGAACAGGTGACAGAGGGACCACACGCAGGCTGCAACCTTTCTAAAGAAAGGACAGTTGTACGAGCTCTGAAATGTACATGAAAAATAACCACGCAAAATGAGGGGACAACCCAGGCAGCACAGCAGCAGTGCCAGCCCCGCCCCCTGCCACGGTGGCTCAGGGGAGAGAAGAAAATGACACCAGTGGGACAGAGGGCTGACAGTGGCAAGGGGGTGTGGTGAGGGGTCAAGCACGGCCCTGGAGGCAGGAGGAGAACTTGGGCCTTGATCCTGGGGACCACAGAGAGGGCTGGGACGGTGCCGAGTATTTACAACTGTACCCGTCTGTTCTGTGCAGGGCTTCCCGAGGCACAGTCCCCACCAGCAACAGCATCGCCTGGGAACTGGTTAGAAATGTATATTCTGCCCCCCAGCCCAGAGCTGCTCAATCAGGCACTCCGGGCATGGGACCCAGCTACTGTGTAGCGCCTAATTTAAAAGATTAGCTTGTCTTATGCTAAAGTTCTGCAAAATCAACCCCAAAGGATGTGCTAGACCTCATTTACATTTCTCACTCCCCCCCCCCGACCCTTTTCTCCTCCTGAAAAGGCTTCCCAGCCTCCTACGCAGACTGCAGAGTTCTCTCGAGCCCCCACCCCCCATCTTTGTGTCCTATTCCTTGTGTGCTTGCTAATCGTTTAATTTGGCTTGGCATTTTGGACACAAATTAGAGGATGGCTATTATGGCAAGCCTTTAAGAGAAAATCTGAAAGTCTTGAGGAAATGAAAGATAACCATGAAAAATAAGACATCTGGGCAAAGTTTAAAAGGACCGGGCACGCTCAGCCTCGAGTGAGTATCACCATGGGGATCCGCGGTGACAGTTTTCTAATATATAAGGAATGCGCGCAGGAGAAAGGGATCCGTTTTTCCACTCATCGGCAAGAGCAGAACAAGCAGGACCGTCTTAGGTTTCAGCAGGGAAAACATATGTCATGTGTTTGAGCCATAGCGCAGGAGGAGCTGCCAAGAGGGCCGGTGAGATCATCCTCGCCAGAGACGCTCGCAATGAGATCACAGCGGCCCAGGTCGCTGTCCGGCAGGGTGCCCGGACCACGCAAGGTCTGAGTGCCCATCAGCCTCTGTGTGGGATCTCCCCATTGCCTGGCAACCCCAATGCCTGGCAAGGTCTGGATGGGCAGGGCAGGTTCTGGTTCCTGGTTACCGTGGTTTGCTTCGGACACCCAGGAATCCAAAGGACACTATGCACCTCTGCAAAACATTTCAGAGTGCCTCGCTACCTGGAGGCCGGGATTCCACGCACTTGTTTCATGGAAAAGCACATTATTCCTTCCCTATAGTCAACTCCTCTCTTCCCAGCAACGGCAGCAGCAGCAGTAACAACAAGCATCACTTCCGGTAACAGCTCCGAGCTACCGTGCATTTGCTCTGTGCCAGCAACTGCCCACCCATCCCTTTATTCAGGCCTCAGCACCATCATAAGACCCATTTTACAGATGAAGAAACTGAGGCTTAGAAGGGGCTACTGACTCACCCACAGCCCCAGGGCTGCTCACGTATGGGATGAGACTTGAGCCCAGGGTTTTTCTGACGTCAGAGTGTATGATCATGATCATGCCTCTATGTTTTTCATATATTTTTAATTTTTTTCTGTTAATACATTCTAGACCATGAAGAACATGCCTCTATGTTGCCAGGAACAAAGTATGCACATCAGATGACCAAGAAGGAACCGATACAAGTGTGGTCCCTGAGACCCTCTGGGGCCAGGAGGGGCTGGCCCTTGATAATGTTCAGCAGAAAGGAGACCAGGAGCCTTTTAAAAATCACCTGCTGTCTCCTCTCCGAATCCCCACCCCCACACCGCTCCAGAGCTGGTGATATTTAAAACCAAGGCCCTGCGGGAAGGCCCTCACCCCTGCCCTGTGGGCACCACCCCACGCCTTGCCCTGCACACCTCCACCACGGACTCAGTGAGCGTGCAGGGCTGCTGGCTGTGTAGATGTCCTCCACGCACCATTGCCCATTCCCAAACTGCAGGAGCAGAGGGCTCCTGGCAGCCTGCCCAGCCCCTGACCCACGCACGTCTTTTATACGTGCCCAGCGCTCTGCTCGGAGGGCCCCTCGGTCAGGACTGGTCGAAGGCTGCTGCAATTGGAGGGGATATTGTGCAGAGACTGCTGTCACAGCCGCACATAACCCCGGGTCACATGTTTACCCCACCTTCTTGTTGATGCAATTCTAGGCTCCAATTCTAGGCTTTTCTTTTTGCCTCTTTCTGGGGTCCTGAATATGGCTGAAATGATTTCTATTCCAGACTTGAAGACCCAGTTTTCCTCAGCACTTTGATGCCATCTATGCTAGTGCCTTTACCACAAGGCTCTCAGGGGCCTCATCGGTCAGATGGTTTGGCTAAGGGACCAGCTCGACATGGGACTGCAGACCTGAACACCCACCTCACCCTGCTGAAAGAGCCACCGCAAAACAAGCACAGGAACCAGGTGGGGCCCAGGGCAGGCACGAGGTCGTGGACTGAGGACCAAGCGCACAAATGGACAGTGTCACAACTGTGCCCGCTCTTGGGAAGAGCACTGTCGGGGGAAGCTCGGGCCAGGGCAGGCTGCCTGTGCAGCATGGCAGACCCGGTAGAAGCCAGTAAAGACCGATTTTCCTGCTGTTCAGACAACTGCGGGCTGATGTCAGGCCTGGAGTCAGGTGAATGAAATTTATTCCTTCTTGATGGAAAAGCTGGATTCAAGCCACAATGTATATTTCTAGGAAGTCTTAATTTTTCTTCCAGCTTCACCAGGCTCAGCAGAGCTTAAAGCAGGCTTTTCCCTCACGCAAAGAGGGCTCCAAGAACAAACAGGGTGGGGCCCTGGGGAGGAGAAGGAGGCCCTTCCAGAGCTTCGCTCTCCAGGTGGCTCTTTCCAAACCGCTATGGGGAGGGTGGGGGAAGAGGGCAGAGATGGCTTCTGGAGATCTGGCCTCGTGGACTGCAGCCTGTGATGGTCAGTGTCACACCCTGAACAGCCACATGAGGATCAACACTCCCAAAGAACCCAGACCAGGCATGACCCAAGCCAGCTCTGTTCCAGCAGATGTGTTTGCTCTGAACAACCCATTCTCCCTGCGCCATCTTTCATGGCTGTGTTCCCACACACCCGTCCTCCAGCACGGTGACTCAAACACACATGGGGGATGTGGATGGATGGGATCTCATCCTAAGGGTGCAGAAATGTCCCCTGCATATGGCCCCATGGCACTCCCAGCACCTACCCGGTAACCCTGGCCATATACACCACCCAAGGCTCAGAAGCTCAGCTCCTGGAACTGTTACCCATCCCTAGTTCACACAGAGAGTTAACAGTGAGGTAAATTAAAATCAGAGTCAACTACCTTCATGGCACCCATGGTTTGGAAAGTCAAAGCTAATCTTGAAGGAGTCAGTGCTGCCAACATCGCATTGAATCTTTCGCTCTTGTTCTTAATAGGTGAATGGTACTGTCCATCTGGAGCCACAGAACCAAACCTGTGGAAAAGAGGGGTGGGGGTTAACAAAAAAGCAGAACATGGCATCACTAAAAATGAAGTCGGGCAGCTCCTATGTGCACACACAGGGAAGCACACAGATGTCCCCATCCTGGAACCTACACCATAAGACAGAAAGCAGAGTAAGGGTGGGGGCGGAGGTGCCTCCCCAGGAGATGCTGAGCAAGGTGTGGCTCAAGGGAGGTAGTGGTTTCCATGAGAGAGAGGCATTACAACAGTACCAGAGCCTGAGTGTGCAGACCACACTGGCCCACTTTTTAAAATTGAGATATGATTCACATACAATAAAATTCACACCTTTATAGTATACAGTTCAATGGATTTTAGTATAGTCGCAAACTTGTACAACTGTTACCCCACACCATTACCAGTCACGCCCCATTCTCCCCAGTCTCCAGCCCCTGACAACTATAACCTACAATCTCTATGGATTTGCCTATTCCGGACAAGTCACATAGGTGGACTTGTGGTCTTGTGGTCTGGCTCTTTCACTTGGCATGATGTTTTCCAGGTTCATCCATGTTGTAGCATGTATCAGTACTTCATTCCTTTTTACGGCTGAGCAATATCCCATTGTAGGGATTTGCCACATTTTATTTACCTTTTCATAAGTTGATGGACATTTGGGTTGTTTTCACTTTGGGGCTATTATGAATAATGCTATGGACATCTGTGAACAAGTTTTTGTGTGGACATATGTTTCTAACTCTCCTGTGGACAATGTTTTCATGCATATCCAGGAGTTGAGGAATTGCCGGGTCATATGTTGACTTTCAAAGAACTGCCAAACTGTTTTCCCCATTGCTGACACTGTTTTACACGCCCACCACCAAATATATGACTGTTCTGATTTCCCCACATCCTCCCCAACACTTGTTATTGCCTCTTTTATTACAGCATCCTGATGGGTGCAGAATGGTATTACATTGTGATGTTGATTTGTTTTTTCCTAACACCAATGATGTTAAGTGTCTTTTTACGTGCTTATTAGCTAATTGTATATCTTTTTTGGAGAAATATCTGTTAAGATTTTTGCTCATTTTTAAATTGGGTTATTTGTCTTTCTATTCTTGGGCTATAATAGTTGTTTTTATATCCTGGATCCTATACCCTTATGATATATATGATTTACAAATATTTTCTCCCACTCTGTGGGTTGCCTTTCACTTTCTTCATAGTATACTTTGATGTGCAAAGGTTATTAATTTTGACGAAGTCCAATTTATCTATTTTTTTCTTTATTTAGTTGTGCTTTTGGTGCCACATCTAACAAATCATTGCTTAAACCAAGGTCACAAAAATTTACATCTATGTTTTCTTCAAGGTCCCACTTCACACTTCTGTATATGGATATCCAGTTTTCCCAGCACCATCTGTTGACAAGACTACTCTTTCCCTCAGTGAATTGTCTTGGCACTTGAGATGAGTATTTGTTGACCTTAAATGTGAGGACTTATTTCTAGACTCTTCATTCTATTCCATTGTCCATATACCTATTCTTACGCAAACACCACTCTGTCTTGATTACTGTAGCTTTGTAGTAGGTTTCCAAATCACACATGTGAGTCCTCCTACTTTGTTCTTTATCGAGATTCTTTTAGCTACTCTGAGTCTCTTGCATTTCCATATGAATCTTAGGATCAGTGTCTCAATTTCTGCAAAAAGAAAGGCAGCTGGGATCTGACAGGGATTGCATTGAATCTGTACATCTATTTACTGGCCCACTCTTTATCAAGTGATAAACCAACACCCCAAAATTGGGGCTCCTCCCACAAACCTCTAAACTCCTGTGTTGCTCCTAATATTCCATAGTATTGGGGGGGGGCGCAGCTTGAATGATGTTGTAATCAAATCTTGCTTCTCAAAGAATGACTCTATATATCCTCATATCTTCTGCAAACAATGTAACTCACTATCATTTTTCTTTCTCATTGTCTCTGACTCTCCAGTCTCTAGTGCACTGAATGCATGCTCAGCTAGAAGGTCCAGAATCTGCCAGAGCACTGGCCAAGATCTCATTAAGGCATTGCGGTAGAGGGAGTTCCCCATCTGTGGCTTTCCTTCCTCCTTCCCCATCTCCCGGAGTGTGGTGATGCTGACAAGTGACCAGGAAATGGGCAAATACCTCTGGGGAAGGCTAGTGGTCCTCAGATCTGCTGTCAGGAGCACTGGTGGCTCCTGAAGGGGTCTAGGGGGTTCAGCACCCACCAAGATAACTGCAAAGAGACTTTTGTTGTTTCCATTTTATTTCCTACCAATTCATAGGAGGAAAAAGTTAAACAGAATTTGGTCCATTTTAAGTTTGTTTGCCATACAATTTTCTCAAATTTTTGGCATCTACTACCACATTTATCTGCTGGCAAGAACTTGCAGGCAACCAAAAGGAGTAAAGCGTTCAAGGAAAATCCGCAGGGAGACAGCTGGTTATGTACTCCCCAACTGCTGGCTTTGTCACAGATTTAAATATGACTGTGGCTCAGAATTTTTATTGGAGAGTGAAATGCTGCTGAAAGAATTAAAGAAACTTGGTGTTTCTTAGCTTCTGCAAAGAGCATCATGAACCCCAGAACACACCTGGAAGATGCCTTAGTTCCTGCCACCCACAAGGGCAGCACTAGCACTGATCTGTTTATAACAGCAAAATAAAAAAAGGAAAAAAACCTAAATGCCCAGTAATATAAGGGATTAATTATATAACTTTTATATATAATCATTTATTTGTCTATTATAGCGCTATTAAAAATGATAATGCATATGTGTGTATACTGTAGCGTAAAAACATTTGATATATATCATGTTAAATGGAAATGACAAGTTATTAAAAAAACAGAATCTATCAGTGAATCTCATCTGGTAAAAATCCAGCATCTCTCTCTCTTTAGACATATCGGCAAGGAGGAGAGATGTACATTGAAGTGTAATAATCATTACGTCTGGGCAACAGCATGTTGAATAATTTTAAATTTTTCCTGTTTGCTTATCTACCTTTTCCAGTCAGTTGTCAATAATCTTGTACAGGTGGTTAGGGGAAGACCACCCGACATGCAGCCAATGAGACTCAAGAACCAGACCAACTTAGCAGAGCAGAGAGATCATCTGCACCATTGACCTGAGTAAAGGAGAAACTACTCACTTATCCAACAGGTTCTCCCTTGGAATCCGAACCTTGTCAAATATTAAAATCCCATTATCCACACCCTGCAGACCTGGAAAGAAAAGAAAGGGGGAAATTTATGCAACATCAGAAATATTGTCCCTGCTACTTCCCAGGCCTGTCTCCACTAAAATGCAAAGCCCTTTATTTTACTTCTAGAATTGTTGATGCTTTTTTATTTGGGGTAGGAGGTGGGGATGTTGTTTGTGTGTTTCCTGTGCCTGTTTCTTCAGCCCACCTTGCCCACTCCTCCCTAACGAGAATGGAGAAGAACATGCTTTTCCCTCTGGGCAGCCTGCATGCTCCAGGGATCTGGTGAGGGCAACCCCGCCTCCAGAGCAGCGACTGTGACTAAGAAAGGAAAAGTTCTAAGCAACCGAAAGGATGGGAAGCTGAAGACAGAAGGCAGGAAAGCCAACCTGCTCTCCCCAGGAATGCAGAGCCCAAGTCCCTCCCGCTGCCAGTGCTCCCTGCTCAGCACACAGGGTGAGCTGGCGAGAGCAAATGCCCAGGAGACCAGGAAAAATGGCCACAAGGACGGTGGCAGTGGAGGCAGGGAGGGGGCTCCTGAAATCTGCCAGACCCGTTGCCTAAAGACACCTGTCAGAGTCTAGGGTCTACTCTTTGTTCAGCAACACTTAGGGAGATTTAATCTAGGGGGGGACAAAGCTATCTTTAGTAAGTGTCTTTCTTCAGAACATCACCCTTGACAAGGACACACTTGCATTTAGGAGCTCACAAGGACACCAGAACAGACTTTCCGCCGTTGCCAGTGTTTTCAATGTCTGGCACAACTTCACAGAGCTCAGCCTGCCCCTCTGCTCTCAGCAACACTTGCCACGAGAGGCGCTTTCATGGCGCTGGCTCAGCCAGGAACTCATCATCCCTGGGAGGTGTGTTTAAAGTCCCTGCAGACCCACCTGCAGCCCACGCCTGCAGCCACGGCAGTGGTCGGTAACCACTGAGGAGGCTGGGATGAGACCACCCCCCTCCACCAAATGACTGGCTTCTCCTTCCCTCTTCTCTTCCCACTCTTTATTCTCTCCTTTTTTCCTAATCTCCTAGCTCCCTTCTTTGGCTTGGCTTGACCTTGGCCAAGGAGGGCCACTGGAGGCCAAAGGCATGGCCTAATCTTACTGAGTCTTATGGCTTAAATTGTGTTCCTCCAAAATTCATATGTTGAGGTCCTAACCCCTACAACTGTATATGTGACCTTATTTGGAGACAGAGTCTTTACAGAGGTAATCAAGTTAAAATGAGGTCATTAGCTTGGGCCCTAATCTAAATCACCGGTGTCCTTGTAAGACAGGGGAATTGGGAGACAGACACATATGCAAGGAGAACACCAGGTCAACGTGAGGTGGCCATTTACAAGCCACAGAGAGAGTCCTGAGGCAAATCCTTCCCTCACCACCTTTGGGAGGAACCAACCCTACGATACTTTGATCTTGGACTTCCAGCCTCCAGAACTGTGAGACAATAAACTTTTGTTGTTGAAGCCACCCAGTTAGTGGTATGGCAGCCCTAGAAAACCAATGCACTGAGTCAACCCTTAGCACTCACGAAGGGCCTCACAAGCACAGACCGCAGGCTGGCAGCCAAGGGGCACCGAGGACAGGGCTGCAGCTGCTCTGTGAGAGTCCAAAAGGCTGAGAAGGAGCGAGAAGACAGAACAGCATTCAGGGCAAAATTGTCTCATTACTAGGAAACTTGAGAAGCTGGGAGAAAATGAGACCAATGCACATTCACAAATGGCAACCTGCAACATCCTTCTAACAGGTCCACATAAAGACTCTGAATGGGGCTGCAAAGTCAGAGTCTTCTCTAGGGGAAGTCGTCTCTGCCTGCACTGTCCCAGTGAGGTGAGTTAGGTCAGACTCCCCCTGGGTGGGGCGGGAGCAGGTGGGAGGTGTGAATGAGCCCAGGAGAGGGCTCATCTAGAGACCCACCTTCTTTGTACATCATATCAATAGCTGTCACTCCTGGGTACAAGTTTCCGTTTTCATCCCGGACAGGAACGATGAAACAGTGTGGCCCTGAGGAAGGCATAAAGATCACTAGTGAGCTGTCCTTTCTATAGACAGGAATGAAGCTTTCTTCATTTCCTGGAACGGAATAAAATTATTTTGATCCCCAAATTCATTCAGTTCCACCACCATGCACTGCACATAATAGTGTGTGATGTCAAAATGTAATAATAAATTTTAACAACATGTATATTTAGGAGATAAAGTTAGTACTGAATTTTCTATAAGATAAAAACAGCTCTGCATAGTGGGTTTCCACTGGAAAATAGTACCAGTAAAGAGAGTTATTCTGGCTGTCTGTGTCGGTGACAAACCTTGAGATCTTCCATTTATGATGAGCTGGGCAAAGACGGCCGCGTAATTCCCGTGCATGGCGTTTCCGATATACATCTTCTCGGCATTCTCGCACGGCGTGTCGATGACAAACTCCTGCACAGAAACAGCAGAGCAACAGAGTGTTTCTGTTCCTATGGCTCATTTCAACTGCTTGGCTCAAGGCAACGAACACTGTGAAAATAGATCCACACGGTGCAGGATGCCATTTTCAGGTGATTTCACAGCAAAGAGGAGACAAACGAAAGGTCATGTGGCTCCACCTGCTGAAGCCAGCCCTGCTGCGCGCTGTCACCTCAGTGCACGTGTCACCTCCACCTCAACTCTGAAAATGAGTGGAGACTAAAGTGATTTTTCAAGGAAAAATCCAATCAGGGAAATAAGTTGCCAATTTTCAATTGTTTAAAGGTGCTTGTTCACTCCTTCCTGGTCTCTCTTCTTTAGAAAGGCTGATGTGTGTGCTGTTCGGCTGCACCTGCCTGGCTTTAATGTGTGGAGTCTTTCTTCAATTACCAACTTCTTTCTCTCTGACTATTTCACACCGAGGTTTTGACTTTTAAATAATCCAACAGCAAAGTCACTAAAAGCCCTGGTGGTACCTACTCAGCTCTCCACACACCCCTCGCCCCCAAACCCCCCACCTGCAAGGATCTCAAGGAAAGATGGAACATCCAATGGTCTCGGCCCCTAGAGGGATTGTTCCAGGGTCCACATTTGTGTGCTTCATTTCGTCTGCTAGTGTTTACGACTCCCGGGCAAGTCACTTGGTTCCTCGGGGCCTCTGCCATTTCCCAGGCCCTGAACATCCCTGCCTCCATGACACGGGTCTGTTGAAACAGCAACCAAGAAATCAGAGGCCAAAACTGGATGCCTGGATGCAGCAAGACTAATAGGCCACCGTGACCTCTTCCCACCATTGCTTAGAGTATCAGCCCAAACAATTTCGGTTTTTATAAAAAGAAATCAGTCATTTAAGCCTTCGGATGATTGCTTCAGAACCTGCCTCTCCATTTTCCTGATCAATGAATGTAATAATTAAAGGTTTCCCCAAAAGGTTCACATGTCCAAGCTCTTAAAACAAAAGCACTTGTAAATGAGTCTCCATCATAGGAGGGGAAAATCTCGGAATGTGCCATGCAGCTTGTCTCTGAATCTGTCCAAGGATTCCAGCTCAAAACAGTCTGAAACTAACACTGGTCACAAAGAAGCAGGAAGAACATGCAGGGTTTTTGTTTTCAGTCTCTGTTCAAAACTCCATCTTCTATTTCCTACTCTCTGGAAGCCAATACCAGGGTCACAGTGGAAACGCTCTCCTTCACTTCTTGGTCCTCCCCAGTCTTACTCGACACCGGGGTTACCTTTAAACCTCTTGCCAAGGAGGGACTGACCACACTGCCAGCTCTGAATACAGGGTACCCGGGACAACTCAGGGAGCCCAGGGGAAATGGCAGAGTTGAACTGCAAATTTAATTGGAGTTGACACTATTGAAGATGTGGCTGAACTAAACCAACAAGCTATTGATCTCACAAAGATTATCTCAGATTTCAGACTATAAAGCATATAGACAATACTTTCCCTCTGGCCAAAATATACAGTCTCGAAGCCTAAGAAAACATTCTTTGACATATGTTTGCACAAAGAAACTTTTAACATGTGCAAGGGCTTTTCAGAAACATAAATAGACAAGCTGAGTCTTTTTAAGAGAAGTCTTTCTGGAGGCCGCCCTTGTCTTATCGGGCCAGCCAGGACTTCTCAAGGAAAGCAGTTATTTGAGGTTGGGTACAGTAAAAAACAACAACAACACAACCCATGTGGGTGGGAAATGCTTACACCTGGGGGTGGGGGGGTGGGGAGCAGGAAGGGACGTGGCTGAGGGAACGCCGGCCTGGCAGAAAAGATCTGGTGGGATAGGGAGGCGCAGGAAGCCACCCGTCCCCCCATAAACATCTGCTACACCCTGGGAAAGGAGGTTTGTCACTTCTGGCAAAATGCTTTATTTGGAAAGTTTGCATCAGCCAAAACCCTGGAGTTAAAGCTGGCTCTAAATAACGCACACCATGTGTGTCGGTTACTAGAATAATCACTTGTTGGAGGTCAGCAAAATGGTCAGTGTTGTTAAGTGCTAGAAAAGATGACTTTAGCCAGAGAGCTTCTAACCTCATTTATTTTTGCTATTTAGCATAAAGGGTAATAATAAAACTCTCTCTTACCTCCTAACTATCCATAACACTACCCGATCCACTCCCCCCAAAATAAATATAAAACAACCAACCCGCAGGAATGAATAACCAAAAGAAATGTAAGAGATTCAAACAGTCCTTGAGGGAGCGAACCCTCATTTAATATGCTCTAACCATTTAAAAGGGAAATGAAGGGGAAACGCAGAACCCACTGAAGGGAGAAGCCCATCCCCTGCTATGTCAATTCTCGGCGGCGTGAGTTTATGATGGGCTTGTTCTCACTCCCACCCCCAGCGGGGCAGAATGCTCACCAGAGGCTCCCATCATTACGATTTCAACTTTGCAACTCCCCCGTCAGCCCGTGGCAGCTGCTGAGGCACACCAGGTAGCTAAATCATTTATGCTGTTTGGGGAGAATGGGACCAACACAGGAAATTATTTTTGTGGGGAAAAAAAATAATTGTAAGAAGAAACAAATAAATAAGAATTGCAGGTGGTTTTTTTCCACCCGTCAAATGACAGCAAGGTGACCTCAATATCATGGCTTGCGGAGAGAAAAAATCAGCCAACCAAAATCCAAAAGATGCTAGGCCAGCACGCCCACCAGCAGGAAAGCCAGGCTGCTAAGTAAAAAACAACCACCATCAAACACAGACTCGCTTATTAACTGGGTAACCAGAGTCCGTTTCTTAGCCTCTGTGAGCCTCAGTTTCCCCATCTGTAAAGTAGGGACAATAATACCTTTCTACAAGATTATGGAACATTTGACAAAATGTTTGTGAGTACAGGGCTTAGCCTAGTGCCCAGTGTATCTGTGCTCGGTTAACGGGAAAGGCTTACCGTCACGTTTATGGGATTGTTGTGGGAGGAAAGACGGACACTACACACAGGGAGTTTGACACAGGGCATGGCGCATAGAAAGAAACAGCAGTGCTTATTCTTGTTCCTACTATGACCTTGGACATCACTGACTGCTACAGAGAACTGACACCAGGACAAGAGGGAAAGCAGAGCATCCTCTAATACAACCCTCCCCTGACTCTGCATTCTGAACTCTGACCACCTCCAACTAGCATTCGAGAGACAGGAAAGCCTACTGACAAAAACCCAGACTCTAAAGGGCAAGCTCAGGGAAAACGAACAGACCGAGCAGCTGCTTGGCCACGCAGCGCCCGCCCACACTCAGCACATGCTGACACGCACAAGTTTACAAAGCCTCGTTTCTAGAAAGAACTTAAAAATGTCTTTATCCCTTTGTTGTTCTTAGAAATACCCAGCATCAGGCAAGAAACTATAAAGGGGAGTGACATAAGTGAATAGTTGCTTTCTTTGTTCAGGAGGGCCTGGGAGTTGAAGTACGGTGTTGACGGTGACAGGGAAGAGTGTTCACAGCGCAGGTTGTGACCCATCGTGAAAAGAGAGATCAGTTCCTAGAGACTTGACCAATATTCTGTTAATCAGTAAGAAGGGAAGGAAAAGGAAGAAAAACAAAGAGAAGAAAAAGAAAGAGAAGGGAAGAGAAAAAAAGGAATGGAAAGGAAAAAATATCAGAATAGGAAAAATGAAAAAGTAAGATTGGTGACGCTCTTATTTCAGTTGTCATGTAAAAGGTCAATGCAGGTCACCATCGGAACCCTGCACGATACAGTACAGAGGACGTGGCTCCCGACAAGGAAGCCCCAGCCCTGACAGTGCCCTCCCACTACTAAAGGAGTGCCTTCCACTCCTTTACCTGCTTCTATCAGGAAGGACAACAAAATGGCTTCAGTATTGTTCTCATGGAGTTATGACAAGGGATTAGATCAATGAGCACACGTACAGTGCTCAGAGCACATCACAGGCGCTATGTATCTGCCGGCTGGCGCTGGACGCATGAAGACTGAGCACACATCTGTCTCGACTAAAACACCTAGACACTTGCTCTGCATCTGAGCTCCTGGGGCCAGAGAGCACACGCAGAGGGCATGACGCTGAAGAAGGACAGCCTGGCCCTGTGGGTTCCCCACTGCCCTGAACGGTGGATGGATGGACAGATCCTCACCTGTGCAGAGAGGTCAAAGGTGGCTTCGGTCTGGATCCCTCTCACGTTGCTCCCGTGGCCCCTCTCGGTCATCGCAAACATCCCCGAGTATTTCTGCTCCTGGAGTTCACCAGATGTGAGAAGGTATTAGCCAGTCAGATGGGTGCTCTAACCGCAGACCTCTCAGCCAGTTAAGAATGGTGGTGAGAGAGGGACGGGTGATTTGGAGATAATTATAAAAAATTCAGTCTGATGACAAGCTCATGGGAGCTTAACAATAAGACAGACTCAATGCAATATGAAAACAATAGTCTTGGAATTCTCATTATGAATGAGACTTTTGCTGACACAAATTCTCTGTTTTCTTTTTCTTCAAGCAGACACACACGCACACACACACACACACACAGAGCACTCTAACTGCTAAGGATGTTTAAGGCTCTCTGAAGAAGGCATCTATAGAGGAACGTGCCATACCTGGAGTGGCTGAAACCATTTAGTAACATGTCTGGGGCTTCCGAGATTCCTGACAGCACCACCAAATAGCCAATAAATTATTCCACACTGGAAACAAGGACAGCACAAACCATCATTAGCAACAGCCAACAATGACAATTAAATCCACTGGCCAAACTCCAGTCGAGGAGCATCTATTTGGCCCCCTGAGCTTTACCTAAGTCCCTCCAGTGGCAAGTTTCCTCCTCATTCCCCTCCACCGCCTGGAGAGCTCCCCTTCCTCTCTGCAGACAAGGCGCACGGGTCACTCCCTCGGAGAGGCTACCCAGCTCCTCAGAAAGTCAGTCCTCCACCCTCAGGGCTGCCCAGTTCACCCCATCAAATGACTGCTGTGACACTCATTCTGCCTTGTGTCCCGGGATCTAGCTGAGGGCCTGGTATGTAGCGGACCGGCAGCAAGGCATGTGTGCCGTGATCCCAGATGCTGGGATCTGCGAGGGGCGTCCTGCCCTGAGGAGCAGCCAGCCAGCAAGAAGGAGAAGGGGCAATGCCGCAGAGCGAACAGCACTCAGCCTCGGAGGAGGCAGCCCAGGACCCGGTCCAACTTCAGCTCCCCGCTGGCTGTGGGATCCTGGACAAACGGCACAGCAGCCTCGGCTTCCCCATCTGACAAGTGGAGTGAATGACGTGTGCACCCATGTACTGACCCACACACACACGCTCGTCAGTGCTCACAGCAACCCTGTGAAGGAAACACCATCGCCCCCACTGAACAGCTGAGGGTGCTGGGTCCAGAGAGGGAAAGTGCCTCAGCCGAGGCCACACCCTCAGAAAGTGCCAAGGGCTGGGGCTCCAACCCAAGCTGCCAACACCTAGCGGTGCCCCATAAGGTTGCCATGAGGATCCACTGAGGGTCAACTGCCAAGCACGCCACCTAGTCTTCTGTAGACCCTGGACAAGTGCTGCTGACAGGGAGGAGGAGGAGGAAGAGGAGGAAGGGTGGCTTGAGCAGGACCATTTGGAAGGGGCAGGGTGACTGACTGCAGAGACAAGGGAACTCGAGTGCAGGGGCCTGCCGTGTCTGCAGGTCAGCATTCACTCCGCTCCTGACCACACGGCCCCAGTTTTCCTCCTCCCTGGATCCCTCCTCCCCTAGAGTCGGTCTAAGTAGTTTGTGGGTGATTTCGACCCCACCCCCAGCTTTAGGAGGAGTCCGGGGCCCAGGACTGGCTGATCTGTGTGATGTCATCCCCCTGGCCATGGGGATGGCTCCAGGGACGGACCGGTGAGCTGGGCGGGTCCAAAGAGGCGGCTGGGACGCAGGGGTGAGCTACTGCAGAAGAGAAGGGCTCCTTTCGATGCAGTGGAACACGGAGGAATGGAGGCCTCTGCTGCCGGCAGCCACGTGGCCATGAGCTGGTGAATGAGGCCAATGCACGGGGCCAGGGGGCGGGAAAGTGGCAGAGCCTCAGGATGAGAGAGACGGGTCTCGCACACCCACCCCTGAAGCCTGCCACATCCCGGACCCCTAGAGCCAGTAAGTGCCGTTTTTGCTTAGGCAAGGTTGGACTGGATTGCTGTCCTGGGGTCACTGCATCTGGAGGAGCCCGCTGTCCCCCACACGTACAATCAACCTGGGGCTAACTTCGTGAAACGGCACTTGATCCGCTCCAACAGCGCTGACCAGCCAAAACGCTCTGACGTCAGCACAGACCGACTTCACTAATCACATCTGACATATGAAGTGCTTTTCATTTGTAGAATTATAAAGTATCCTGGGAAGATGTTTCGTGCCCCGATGACTCAGCCCGCTTCTCCACAGAATTACTGCGGGCACTGCAAACTGCATTACTAATTCCAACATGGGAAATGGAAGCAATCCAACTAGCACATGCTTTTTCCCTAAACCATCTTGGAAGTCAAGTGAAAAAAAAATATTTTTCTAACAGTAAAACAAGTTGGATTCTCCACCCCTAAATCTCTTTGGCGGGTGGTTAATGCATTCTTGACAATATATTCCTTTTCTAGGTTTTAAATCCTTTCCTCCTCTTTAGGAAGGGGGTAAAACCTACAGTGCTTGATCCACATTTTGAAAGCCGCTGTTCACTAAATGTATTAGTAGGAGCCCTGGGCTGTGGCTGTGAACCTGTAGGTTTGCAGAAAACTGCAAAAGTTAACAGAGGTGGTATCTGGGTGCCCCCAACCGACATAGGTCAAATGTGGGGTTCTTCTCCCACAAAAGCCACACTTGCTGAGTGACAGGTAATCCAACAAAGCTGGGCCAAGTGCAAGAAAAGCTCCCGGAGGCTCTAAGCAGATGACTCCCTGGCCTGACACGCTTTCAGCAGGTGCTTCCTGGGAGGGGCGAGGACCCCAGCCCAGCTGGCAGGAGGGAGGCAGGCAGGGGAGAGAAGTAGAGGGACTCTGGATAGATTCTGGGAAAGAGCCAATGGGGTGGATTTGGGAGGAGAAGGAAAGAGAGGACCTCAGCAGACACCTGGGTCTGTGGCCTGAGTCGCCAGGTGGTAGGGTGGCTTGGAGGGGAGCTGGGAGGAGTCAGGAGGAGGGACGGGCGCATGAAGACAGAGATGCTGAGCCCGACAGGAGATGGGCACCAACCCCTGCTGACGGAGCAGTGCAAAGTGTCCTCCAAGAGGGCACTGTGTCCACTGCTACTATGACTGCCCGGCGTTCTGAACGGGACACAGAGAGATCCATTTGCTTCAAGAGAGCCTGGGAAATGCAATGGCAAGGACATAAAAAGGAGCAGGGGAAATCTACTGAAAACTCTAACTTCAAACACACGCCCACCTTGTCTTGCTTGTCTGGGAAAGCCCCCCCTCCTTTCTCACTCCTCTGGAGAAGAAAAGGCAAAGCTACAACATCGGGTGTGCAAAGTAATGACCACAACTCGCCCAGCAAGGGCTGGCAGCAGCCTCCAGGGGCCCTGGTTGGAGATACCTAAGGGCTGGGGGTTGCAGCCAGGACAGGCCACAGGGGCCAAAGGACGGAGCCCTGGCAGGGCCTCTTAGCTTTCAGATGATGACTAGAAGGAGACACCCCAAAGTGGGAGGGAAATCTGATCGGCTAGACCTAGGAAGGTAGGTTGGTTTCACCTCCATCCACCAATGGAGCTACTAGCTAGAAGGCTCTTAGGAGAGGCCCCTGCCCGTGTCCCAGCGGGTTACAGTCCCTACCACCCACTGACCTCCTGCTACATGCCAGGATTGGCAGGGGCTCCTCGTTACGAATTTAAGTCTGCACACAGCCTACAAATGGGCATTAGCAATGCCATCTTTACAGAAGAGAAAACTAAGGTACAGATGTACAAAGAGATGTGCCAGAACCGTGACTGGGAAGTCCTAGAGCTAGAATGTGAGCCCACATCGTTCTGACTGTGTCCCTGCCACAATGGACCAGTGAGGTCTGTCCTGCTTGCAGGAAGTCTGCCAGTGCCACGGCTTCAATAGAGCAGGCCCTTCTACACAACAGCCCAACAGAGGGTCTCCTAAAGAAGGTTTGAGTATACTCAGAATCTTTTCATTCCAAGAGAAAATGGGATACAATGAGGCACTGGAAGTGGTTTTTGAGACAATGGTGACCTCAGAAATGGACTCAGAATTGTGTCCCCTCTAAAATTCATATGTTGAAGCCCTAATGCCCAACATGATGGTATTTGGAGATGGGGTCTTTGGGAGGTAATTAGGGTTAGATGAGTTTATAAGGGTGTGGCCCTCATGATGAGATTAGCACCCTTTTAAGATGAGGCAGAGAGACCAGCACCTCTGCACAATGTGAGCACATAGCAAGAAGGCAGCCATCTGCAAGCCAGGAAAAGAGCCCTCACCAGAACCTGACCATGCCGACACTCTGATCTCAGACTTCCCAGCCTCCAGAAATGTGGGAAAATAAACTTCTGTTGTTTAAGCCTCCCAGTCTGTGGTATTTTGTTATAGCAACCCAAGCAGGCTAAGACAGACGGTAAGATGATTCAAATGAAGAAAAAGAGAGCAGCTGCAGGGAAAGAGAAAAGGAAGCACATTGTGGTTTTTTCAGCCTTATAGTCCTTCCAGATTACATCCTCCTTTTTGGCAGAAGACCTGAGCTTGCTCCCAAGCTAGAGTGGGGATTCAAAGCCCCAGGAAAGAGAATCTTTTTCGCTGGCACCTCTCTGGTGTGCCCACCCCTGCCACTGTGATGTGTGCTCAGAACCAGCCCCCAGCCCTGCCAGTGCTTGGCTGTGTGAGTCAAATGTGTTTGTCCAAAGCACTCGGGGAAATGCAAAGCCCCTGGATAAACACACCCCTGGTGGGAGAGAGAAAAGGGGACTGGACCTGCGGCACAGTTGATTTTGACACATTGATGCTGACGTCCCCTCCTCGGGTTGACAGCCAGCTCCTGCGAAAGGCAGGGACCACCAGCTGCTCTTGGGCTAGCAGTGGGATCTGGGGACCCCCTGACCAACTGAGCATTCACAGGAACTGTTCCCAGCACACCACATGCCCTCCTGGACATCTCCCTCCACCACCAACAGAAAAGACATCCACAGCCCTCCCAGCCAGACTCAGGGGCACAGGTGCCTCTAACTGCCTAGGATTTCCAAGCTCAGGAAAAAAAATCTCCCACAAAGACTGATGAGTGGGAAAGCAAACAGAGTTAATAGTAATTTTTAATTGGTATTTTTACTGGGGTAAAATACATATAGCATAAAGTCTGCCATTTCAGCCATTTTTAAGGGTATAGTCCAGTGACATTAAATACAGTCACAATGTTGTGTGACCATCACCACTATTTCTAAAAATTTTCATCATCCCAAATAGAAATTCTATACCCATTAAGCAATAACTTCCAATTCTTCCCTCCCCCTAGCCTCCAATAGTCTCTAATCTACCTTCTGTCTCTATGAATTTGCTTATTCTAGATATTTAATATAAGGGGACTCATATAATATTCGTCCTTTTGTGTCTGGTTTATTTTACTTAGCGTAATGTTTTCAAGGTCCATCCACATTGTAGCATGAGTCAGACTTCATTCCTTTTCAAAGCTGAATAGTATTCCACTGTGTGTATATACCACATTTTGTTTATCCACTCATCTGTCCACGGACACTTGGTTTGTTTCCACCGTTTAGCTCTTGTGCATAATGCTGCAATGAACATTGGCGTACAAGTATCTGCTCGAGCTCCCACTTTTAGTTCTTTGGGGTATATGCCTAGTTAGTGGAATGCTAGGTCATAATGGTAATTCTATTTTTAACCTTCTGGGAAACTGTCATATTGTTTCGGTTCTATGTGTTTATTTAATACTCACATATTGACACCTGCTATTTACCAAGAATATAGGAGTGATAATTTTCAAGGAGTTGTCCTCTAGTGGTGCTAAGAGACATAAAGTAATCACCTGAATAAAAATATAGATTCAAAATGGAAACATGAAATGACAGGAAACTATAAGGAACAAGGACAGATGACAATGAGTAGATGGGATTTAAATTGCAAGATTAGGAGGGGCTTCCTTGAGGGAAGGACACTTCTGCTGGGATCCGAAGAAACAATAGGTGTCAGCCAGGTGACACCGGGAAAAGATCAGTCTAGAGTGGGTGGCAAGAGTGGTTCAAAAGTGGGCAAAAGGAACCAGAAGGAGGCCTAGGGAGCAGAGGAAAGAGGAACAGCATCTGGAGAGGTGATCAGGGCCACACCCTGCAAGGACCTATGGGCCACATCAAGGATTGGAGGGTTTTTCTAAAGCATAATGAGAAGGAAAGAGTTTTAAGCAGGAGAGTGACATGATCAGAGGAACATTGTAAACATTTCTTTAAATCTATTCCAGCTTCCTTCTAGAATACTCAGGAGTAAAACCTTTTCAAAAAAAATTACGTGAAATATTAAACAAAACAGAAGGGTACAATGAACTCAAGGATGAGCAGTTCATGGTCCACTGTGCTTCACCTCCCCCAACCCCCACACATTTTCCCTTCCTACACCCTGGGTCATCCTGATGTCCATCCCAGACATCACACCACGTCTTCCCTAAATATTTCCTACACATCTGAAAAGATAAAGACTCTTTTTAAAAACATAACTGTAAAAGCATTATCCCACCTAAAAATATAATAACCATTCTCTAATATCGTCAAAGGTCCAATGTTCAGATCTCCCCAGCTGACATATAATTTTTCTTTACAAACAGTTTGTTGTTTGAGTCAGGATCTAAATAAGAAACACACATTGCAATTGGTTGAAATGCTTCCTAGGTCTGCTTTAAACCACAGGTTGCCCCTCCCTCATCCATTCAAACATTCCCTGTGCAGCTCCGTGCACTAGCCTCAGTGTAAGACCCTGGAGACCCCAGGAGAAGGCTCCCTGCTCAGAGCCCTGCCACATCCTTGCAGATGTCCCCATGGTGACAACGCACGGAAGCTTGCCAAAGGGAAGGCAGGTGGGGGCAAGAACAATATAGTAAAAGCACAAATTGGGGGTCATAAGTCTGGACCAGGATCCTCCAGCATTTCTAAGAGGGGCTCTATTTGTTGCATCTCAGCTGACTGTTCTTCTCCCTAAAAGCCACAGACAGCCCATCCAGGAGGGAAGAGGCCCTGCCTGGCTGAAATCTCAGGGAGGCCAGTCTTCCTGGAAGGACCTGATGGTGGATGCCCTCACCACAGGATGGCATGCACAAATTTCTTTCTCTTTAAGTCCTGCCCATAGAAAACATCTACACCAAACAGAAATAACCGCCATCTTGGACTCACTCTCAGTGACTCAGCTTCCTGTCTGATCATTCTGTCTTCACGTTCTAGTTGTAATTTCTCCCCTTTGGGGACATTAGGACCAAGTGTTAGAATATGAGGAATTATTTGAGACCCAGTGGTGGCCAGGGAGGGAAAGGAGGGCATATGCAGGGCCACAGGAATGGCTGTCTACTGGGAGGCTTAGGGCACCAGGAGGGGCTGCAGCAGTCATGCCCACCTGATCTCTTCCACTCACTATTCTTGGGGAGCTTGGACGTGTGAAGCAAGACCACGATGAGATGTCATTTTACACCCATTTGATTGGCAAAAATAGAGACGTCTAAGAATTCCAAGTGTAGGTGAGGATGTGGATTCACAGGGTCTGAGTACATGCTGTTGGTGGGAATGTAAATTGAAGTAATAACTTTGGAGGACAGACTGACACCACCCTTTAAAGTTAAGCATTCATTTATCCTATAACTAGCAATTCCATTCCTAGTTGAACACCTAAGGGAAGCTTTTACCCATGTTCAACACCAGACATGGACAAGAGTATTCATAGCCACACTTTTCACATTAGCAAAGATCTGGAAACAACATGACAAAGTGGACGAACAAAAGCTGTGGAATAGTCACACAAAAGAATATTATACAGTGGTCAAAAATGAATGAACTTCCATTTCTGTGTCATTCCAAAAATGACAAAACTATACAGATGGAGAACAGATTAGTGGTTGCCAAAGGACAGGGGTGGGGCTGGATGCAACTGACAAGGACTAGGTAGCACCATGAAGTCGCTTTTTGATGGTGGAACAGTTCTATATCTCGATTGTGGTGGTGGTTATATGAATTGATATATGGGGTCAAACTGCACACACACACACACACAACTATGTACATGCAAAAACTAGTGAAATCTGAATAAGGCCTGTATCCTATTTGACAGTGCTGTACTAATGTCAATTTCCTGGTTTTATATTGCATTACTGCTATATAAGATGTTACCATTAGGGGAGAATGGGTAGAGGTCACATGACTCTATGCACTATTAACTTTGTGTGAGCATTATTATTTCAAAATAAAAATGTTTTCTTAAAAAAATTAAATAATGAATACAGTGACACGCAACAATATGGATCAATCTTGGCAACAATATTTAAGTAAAGAAAGTAAATCAAATGATTATGATACTGTTTTTATAAAATTAAGATAAATGAAAATAATCAATTGCTACAAATGTAATAAAACTGCACAAAAAAGAAAAACAAAGAAAAAACAAAAACAGGATTGGATATAATGGTTAAAGGGGCAGTCAGGGCTGGGTTGTGAGGTGTGCCATTTTACCTACACCTATTGCAGAAAACAGACTGAGCTCCCAGGTTCTCGGTTTCCACTCGTTGCCATCAAAGCAAGCGTGAGGTCGTGCAGACAGCTGTCTGGCCCACTCACCTTCACTCCTGTGGCCATGTCCGCAATGGAGAGGATTTCTCCTATGACAAGGCTTCGACTGACAAAATTCTTTGTTTTCTCTGCCTGAAAACATGACAGACCCATTGTCAAGGTTTCTTTGTGGTTTTCTGACCTTTTAAATTCACATTTTTTATAATAAAGGCATGTTAACTTTTGTCATTAAAAAAACACAATAAAAGCAACTTTCACATTAAAAAATAATCCCATCAGTCTACTAAAATAAACATTTTCATCTTTTTTTCAGCGTGTTCTTCTGATCTCTGCCCACATGTACATAGTGTTCAAAGACTCTCAGACAACAGAAAGTCAACTGCATCCACGTGGAGGCCAAGGCAGACGTTGCTCAGGCCTTGCTCTGCCTTCACCAGGTTTGTCCCCCGCGGCTTGCCGGCATTCCCTCTGCAGCCCTGGTGCCCCCACGGTTCTGCCTCGCTCCTCTGATGGGCACCACGGCCCACAGCCTCTCTGCACTGACACCCCTACCAACAGGAACACCTGGCTCAAGCGCTGGCAACATCTTGATGTGAGCCCAGAGCATTGTGGAGGTCTGGGAGCATTTTGGACACAGGAAAAGCAATATTCTTCATTTTCCTTTCTAACCAGAGATCATCTCAGGGCCTTGATGATTTAAAAATCACAAGACTGCAGTCCCCACTTATCACTCACGGTACACGACAGCAACAGATCCCAAAGCTATGTGAGCACACTCCTCCACCAGTGAGAAATGAGACAGGACCACGACACTGCCACTGTTTCATTTAAAAAAGGCAGAAGTAGCGGCATTTCCTTAGAGGGTGGTGGGCCCTTGAGTAGGCAAATTGCAATTGTTCGTTGTTGGAATTAATGCTAATTGTCCTCATTTGCCAGTCTCTTCTGAGACCCGGCCAAGAAAACTGGTGTTTGTTACCTATGTGTGTATGTGTGTGTGCATGTGTCTGTGTGTACATGTGTCCCTGTGTGCGTGTGTGTTTGTGTGCATGTACACCTGCGTATGCGTGCATGTGCATGTGTGCATGTGTGCATATGTGTGGTGGGGTGTGTGCACATGTGTATATGTGTGTACGAGAGTGTGTGTGTGTGTGTATACTGCCCCGCCAGTTGCAGGATGATAACCGACCTTCCTTGGATGACTCTCGGTTTCCACATTGGCTTAAGCTCTCTCCCCAAACACACTCTCTATTTTCCCCTCCCGTAGATTTTTACAATGTTGCTCTCAAGTGTTATTAATTTTATCAAACAGCAGGCTGTCAAGATTTATGACTCTCATCATGGCTCCAATCCAATGCATCTTGTATTGATTATTTCCTAAAATATCTCGAGGCTTGAGCATAAACCATTACATGAAATCCAGCTTCAGCTCACACTGGAGAGTGAGTTACCAGCAAATAATAAAAAAAACAACTGTAGCAGATATTTACAGACATTTTTGGAGGGCCCAAGTGTCCTTACACAAATCCTCACAACAACCCTCCTGAGGCTAAGCATGACAGGAAGGACTGACCCCACGTAACAGGCTCAGGGAGGTCAAGTGACTTGTCCAACCAGAGTCACCTGGTAAGTGGCAGAGCAAGGATCAGAAACCAGATCTTCAAGTTCCTCATCTGGACATCCTGCCACTGCCCTCACTGCTGGAGGACACCCGGGACTCCAGTGGCCCAGCCTTTATCACCGATCCACCCTTTTTCTGCACCACCAGCCTTGTCCCCAGAAACCACCTAGCATCGACCTGTCACTGTGCCCCCAGGTTATCTTCCTGAGAGCCACCCTATCCGGAATCATCACAGCAAACCCTTCCTTACCTGAATCCACCCGCTCTGCTTCAGCCAAACCTAAACCATCAGGAGTAAGCATATCCCTCAGCATTTCCAATTGCTCAGTTTTCTTCATATTTCATTCTCTTCATGTATATTGTCGATGCAGGAGTATGACTTTGTCAGTAGTGGTATCTGAGTGTGGTCACTTTTACTCACCAGTTTGAAATAAATTGCAAGCACATTTTCTGAAGAATCAACCCCAAATTTAGCCATCTTGGAACATTATAAATTGTTTATGACGATTACTTCCCTTCCCCTGTCTTTGCACGAGACAGCAACCTTTGCTATTACGCCTAATGGGAGAAGTCAGTCAGAGTGTGCCATTAATTCTCCGATGTGGATGTAGCATGCATTTGGACTGGTCCATTTCAAGAGGCCAAACCAAAGTTCCAGAACTGAGACTGGGCTTAATATGAATGACTGCCTTATTGGTGTATATTTTTAACGTCTTCTTCACACATAAATTCTTTCTTTCAATTCTTCTTTCATTTCTAATTGGTTCATTGTTCTTAATTAAGGAATGTTTCTCCTCTTATTGAATTGGCAGCACTAACTGAATTTCAATACCTACAAATCAATCAATAATCAACATGCGTTGTTCTGCATACATTTTGCAGTATTTCTACTGTGTCAGTAGCCGCCTTCATGTACACTTGATAGATTCAAACCAAACTCAAGCTCCATATCAGCATATAAATTTGTGGTAATAATAAATGATAATAATCCCATAAATGCATGGATAACATATCCAAGTTTATCCAAAATTACAGCCCATGTTATTTTTATTTCTACTTAATAAATTCAATCTCAAACAGAAGATAGTTCTTCATAAAATATGTCCTTTTCTTTGTAAAGCACTTGATGTAGCAGACCTTTGTGATGTAATATTCTGTTATAGATTCTGCAAAATGTATATTTTTTGTTTCATAAGCCCAGAGTCTCTAAAAGACATATATATATATATGTCTTTATATATATTTTTTTTTCTTTTTTTTAATACTTCCTCAAATAAAAGCAGCATGATTCAGAACTGGCTGGGAGTGCGTAGTCTGAGCTGCCTTTCCTCTGATGTTAAAAGACCCACATGGCCTCCTTTGCAACCCATCGGCAGCCCAGGTCAGGTGCCCAGCCGAGGGGCCTGGGCAGAAAGAGGTTCTAATCTCCATTTTTTTTTAATAGCAGTCCCCAAACTGGCATACTTGCTTCTTCTATCATCTGGTTTCAATTTTCAGTTATGTCTTCTCAGCCTTATTGAATACATGTCCTTTGTTCTAACTAACTTCAAGTTATTTTAGAAAGAGAAAAGAGTCAGAGTAAAATGCACAAATAAATGGGCTTCAAAGATTCAGTTGTCTGGGCCTCTAAGCAAGACTCTTGCCTGCTGGGCTAACCAGCCCAGCCCTCTCTCCAAAAGACCCTAAGTCTGGCCGCTTCTTACATCTCCCACCACTCTCTCGTGGGCTATTGTCACAGCCTCCCAACTGGCCTCCTGTGTCCACCCTGCACCAAACTTCAAGCATTATGATCTTTTTATGATTTATTATTAAAGTAAATTTACATCCAGTCAAACTCACAGAGCTTAAGCGCATGAGTTCTGGTCAGTTACCTCCCTGCATAACCATCCCACCCATCAAGAGCACAGAGCACTCCTGTCCCGCAGCGAGAGCCCTCGCGCCCCTCTGCAGTGAGGGCTGCCCCCACAGGCAACCGCTGTTCTCTTTTTATCACTGTCCACTTGCTTTGCCTGTTCTGGAACTTTCACAAGTAGAAGGACACAGCATATGCTCTTTGGGGTCTGCCTTCTTTCATGCAAATAAGGCCTCCGTGTTATTGGGTATATCCATAGTTCATTTTTATGAGTAGTTTCCATCTACAAATATTCCATAATTTGTCTAATGTGTTATTGTTGAACATCTGCATTGTTACCCATGTGTGACTACTATGAACCAAGTTGGTATAAACATTTGTGTACAAGTCTTTTTGTGGACATGGGTCCATTTCTCTTCTGTGAATCCTCAGGAATGCAACTGTGGGGTTAGAGCAGAGGTTTAGTTGTATGAGGAACAGCCAGTTTGTGAAAAGGTTGCACCATTTTACACTCCTGCCAACGACATATGAGAGTCCTAGTTTCTCACACCGGCACTGTCGGTCTTTTCCACTTTTAGCTATTCTGAAGGAGTGTAATGGTTTCTCATTATGGCATAAAGATGTATTTCTCAGACGACTAAAGATGACAAGCACATTTTCATATGATTATTGGCCATTTGTACTTCTCTATTCGAGTCTTTTGCACCATTTTAAAAACAGAGTTGTCTTTTTATTATTGAGTTCTAGGAATTCTTTATATAGTCTGAATACAAATCCTTTGTACCTGGACACGAGTGTTTGTCAGATATATGCATTGCAGGTATTTTTTTCTAGTTTATGGATTGCATTTGTATTCTCTTAATGATGTCTTTGATGAACAGCAGTTTTTAATTTTAATGAAGACCAATTTATCAGAATTTTTTTGCCTTTACATGATCAGTGATTTGGGGATCCTCTCTGAGAAACCTCTGCCTATCCTAAAGTCTAAAGGACATTCTCCTTTGTTATTCTACAAGCTCTGTAATTTTAGAGTCTATATTTAGGTGTGTAATACACCTCAGATTATTTCTGCGTATAGTGTGAGGTAGGAATCCAGGTTAACTTTTTTCCTATATGTTTATCTAGTTGTTCCAGCACCATTTGTTGCAAAGACATTTTCTTCCCATGGAACTGTCTTGGCAACATTGTCCAAAAAATCAATTGGTCATATATATGTGGGTTTCTTTCAGGACTCTCCGTTCTGTTCCGCTGATTTATTTGTCTTTCCTTTTGCCAACACCACATAATCTTGAGTAGCTTTACAATAAATTTTGAAATCATGCAATGAGAGTCTTCCAACTTGGTCCCTTTTTAGAATTGTTTTAACTTCTCTAGGTCCTTTGCATTTCCATATATGTTTTGGATCAACTTGTAAATTTTGATCAAGGCACTATAACATTTTAAAAACAAGTATCTTTGGGGGTCAAACGACTTTTTAAAATAAACATATGTGTTCATTTGGGTGGGAGGGGTCAAAAAATAAATAAATAAAAATAAGCATTATGTCATGCCTCCCTCGCCCTTCCCCCACCACGGTGAAAACTTCCAATGACTCCAGTTACCCTTGCAAGAAAATCTAACCCTGTCACCATGGCCTCCATGTCTGGCCTTATTCCTTGCTGG